ACTTTGTGATTAGGTCTTACTAAGTTGTCCAAGCAGACCTTAACCTTGCTCTGTAGCCCAAGAAATACTTGAACTTGAAATTTCCTGTCAGTCTGCCAAGTACCTTTGGAATACATGCCTTTAGCATGATGCTCAGTTCAATTTACCCCTTAAGATGAAAACTCTGTTTGCTAGAATAGTTTTGTATTACAAATTAATTCTAACTGGACAATGATAATTTTCAATACAAATAATTGATTTTTTTCCTTCTGTGAAAAGGTAAAACATCAAATAGTTTGTGTTAGCAAGAATTAGTTCTAGGGACTGGAGAGATGGTTCAGTGGTTAAGAGGTCCCTCTTTCAGAATATCTGGGATCTATTCTCAGCACCCACATGGCAGGTAACCATCATCTGTAACTCCAGTCTCAGGGGATCTGACACCATCTTCTGACATAACATGGATACACACCCCCATATATGCAGACACTACATTCATACACATAAAATAGCTAAAGGCTACATAACAAGCAACAATGCCAGACAGGCGATACCTTCTTTTGAGTTGTTGTCCAGGGTGGCCAAAGGGATTCACAGATAGTAACCCAGCATAGAACTGGGAAAATGAACAGCAGATCCCAATGAGATGGCTCAGCGGTTAAGAGCACTGACTGCCCTTGCAGAGGACCTGGGATCCTTTCCCAGTACCCACATGGCAGCTAGGAACCGTCCTTAACTCCAATTCCAGGGGAATCCGAAGCCCCATTCTGACCTCCGCAGCATTGCACAACACGGGTGCACTCACATACATGCAGGCAATACATCCATACAAATAAAAAACTAATTAAAAAAATAGAATAATTAAAACTAAAGACCAAACTTCCATATCATAGTTCTATAGATATAGTGAGAAATCAAAAGGAAGAAACTGGTAATAAGTTCTTACAAATGAGATAGTATTTCAAAACTTAAGAATATAGTAAAAATGGATTTCAAATTTATTTTACTCAGTATGGTTTATTTTCCCATGCTTGCTGTACTAGCTTGTTTACAAAAACAGTCAACTCACCAAGAATAGATTGCTCATGTGGTTTTAAAATCCTGAAACTACAGTGGGCAACCACTCTAACTTTCCCCTAGATTTTCAACATAAGAAATCAGAGATAATCAATCATGAATCAATTGGGGAAAAGTAGAGTAATATGAGAGAACTGTTTCTACCCGGAAACTTAATTTCCACCAGAAATGCCTTCCATGTAAAACTGGCATTTGCAAGTTTTCCTTTCTCTTTCAGTACCTCACATCATTTCACAACTAACTGGTGAGCTAATTCACAATATGTTCAAGAGACTGTCTGGAAACTATGGACACAATAGAGAGCAAAACAAACATTCCTCCAAGTGCTGCAGTGAAGGGTGAGAGGAAAAATGCACATAGTCATGACAGTAAACAAATGTCCTGGGTAAACTTATATGGAATTAACCAACCGCTGATTAAGTTTGAAATGACAAATGGAAATGAATTAGAGAAAGAGAGAAGGAACCTACCAAGTGTAAGGAGTAAAATGTTCCCTGTGTTGAACTTGTGGAGCTAAGAGGGACTGGTTGAGTATAAGTAGCTCAAAGGTCAGTTTGACTGGAGAACAGAGGTTAAAGAGGAGAGGTTTGTAAGGAGAGGTTTCAGATACAGGCTTAATTGTCCTATCAGAGGTTTGGCCTATTTTATCTTATAGTAAAAGTAATCTACGGATAAGATTTGGAAACATCATTGTGGTGTGGTGACAGTGCAGGGTTCTGTGATCTGAAAGTCACTCAGATTTCATGTTATATAATGCAAAGTTAAAGGAAGGGCCAAAATGTTGCAATCAACTTTCTAATAACAAACAGCTATATTTTAAAAATGAAAATTTCAACTCCTAGATACCTTTCATGTTTTACTCCCTGGAAAATCTCTTTAACATTTACACAAAAATATTCCCATCTGCAAATGCTATTATACCATCATAGAATCTCTTTGAAGTATCTTTTTTAAAATTTCCTCACATATCAATGTTGTTCATATATCCCCTTTTTTGTTCATGGTGAAGATATGTCTTCATCACTATATGAATATCACAAGCATGCTACTCTACACCCTTGCCAAATATTAGAGAATTCTCAAGGGGGTCTTTAGTTTATATGATGATAGCATATATGATGATGAGTATATTGAGAATTATTGAAAAATACTTATTAAAATGAAGGAAATACTTTAGATTTCTAACTTAGCAATAAGAATTACAATGTAGTGAAAATTTTATTTAATAAAAACTGGTGATTTAGCAGCTGCTGTTTAGACGTTCTTGCTTCTGGCTGTTTGTGTTTTTATAGTAGATGGAATCCCACTGAAATGGGCCAACAGCCCATGGAAAATTGATGATGCAGAGACCCATAAGTTCAGTGCCTTGCCACAATAAAAGGAAGATCATCCCACATCTACCACCCCTTTTAAGGCTCAGTAACTTTTGCAGAAGTGGTTGGCAGAAAGAATGTAAGAGCCAGAGGAAGGGGTGGAGTGTTACCTGGAAGTGTCCTCTGACCACTATGCCAGCAAGCTATAGCCACACCTCCTTCCTGTGCTCAACAAGGAGTTGAGGCGAAAGTCAATTACCCCTTCTGTCCAATCAGTCCATCTTAGCTGTATGTGGAGGACAGACTAAGGACATATAAGCAGAGAATGCCAGGAGGCCCATCTCTCACCATTTTCTATGACTGTCTGGAAATCAAAGGATCTATATTTGAATGTGGACTTACTAGTACAGCAGTAAATGGTGGGGGGAGCACACATTCCACTGTAAATAAATCCCCTACCCTATGCTTGGTTAAAAAAATATATAAAGAAAATGATAGGTGTTTGGATGGATAGGGGAATGTCTGGGGACACTGACTTAGCTCAGTGGGCCTTAACACCCTGTGGACAGAGTATATGGGTTCCATTGTGGGGCTATGGGAGGGGTCTGATGGAGACAGGGCTAAAAGATGATTCAGATTGTTGGAGATATTCTATATGAAATACAACAAAATGCAATAAAAACAGATTTTAAAAATTAGCAAATAATAAAAGACTTAAAAATTTAAAAAACAAATGGTGATTTAATTTTGGATACATTAAACATGAGATGTCCAAAAAACACTGAACTAGGACAAGACAAGCATTGGAACCATGTTTAGGAGCTGGACACTTAAGAAAAGTTCTGCACCAGAGAGACAGAATTCCACACAAAGGACTTTCTTGTAAATCTGCAGAAATCTGGGGAGATGGGGCTGAAGAGATGTCTCAACTGTTACTCATCAGTGTATGGGAGGTTTCTTCCTGGTAGGGCAGATGTGATGAGACCCCATCTTCCCTAGGCAGTTTTCTTGAACTTTGAGAGGGTGATTGATCAGGATTGCCAGCTGTGAATGATTACTGCATCCTGAAAATCCCTGCAGATATGTTCTGTTTCATAAAAGTTATATAAGTAGTGGAAGGTGTAGCTCAAAATCCTGTGTCCTGAAGTGGCTGCTATCTCTCACAGCAGCTCTGCATGAGTGTACAGGTGAAGAATGTGGAAGTTATTTTTTCTATTTATACTTCAGAATAAAAATTAAGCCCTGACAGCTATGAGATTTAGGTGAGAGCAGCAAAAACACTGTAAAGCTCAATTTAAAGAAGAATGTTACAAAGGGAGAATGAGGATGAAAACTGGAGCACAAAGTTTGTGAAAATTTTTAGTGCAGATCTGCTAGAGATAAAGTGAAAGAACAAAGAAGCATGAAAGATCAAGTTAACGGAACATGAAGGAAATGAGAGGAAAGATAGAGAGGGAATGAAGAGATTTCTATGAGCTCAAAATAAGTCAAATTCTTCATTGAAAAATGTATGTTTCTTAAATTTTAACACTGTTAATAGAAAAGTGCTTTTATAGTGTGTTCTTTAATTTCTTTTTATTCAATGTTGGTGTATTTCATACAGAAAATCTCAATCAATCTTAATCATTTTTACACCCTCTGCCCCACTGGCACCCACCCATTGCCCGCACTGGAATGCATACATTCTATCATCTGTGTTAGTTTCTATTATATCAAGTTAGTGTCCCCAGATGTTCCTCAGTGCAAGTTCATCTGCTAAGGTCTAGTCAGTTTATGGAGAGTCCCTCACTTTAGGAATTTCAGTTCTTGCTTATCTAGCAGTAATTACTTGTCTATACTTCTTCAGCTAAAATTGGGGTTTGCTGTCCATTTTCCCAATTCTATGCTGGATTTTTGTCTGCTTGTATTTCTATGGAATTTGTGTATGCTGACCCCACTGGTATAGATTCATGTGAGCAGGGTACCCAGAACTTTTAGGACTCTGTTTTCATATGGTCACGTACTTCCTCACTAGCTCTTACATTCTTTTTGTTTACTTTTCCACAATCCACCCTGAGCCCTGGGTGGGTGAGGTTTATTACAGGAGTGCTGTACAAGGACCAGCATTCTTCACATTCTTTAAATAAAAGAAAAAAACTGTGTTTCTTTGATGATTATAGTTAAGTATGTTATTATTAATAGAATAAACATTCTATGCGATAAGTATATATAAACATAAATTTGAAATACACAGCGAACAAATAATTTTAAAGACTAATTAGCTTCTAGAGAGTCTTCTAAATCACAAGAGAAACTGTCAAGATGTCTTAGAATTGTGTAATTATATGTGATTTTAAGAGTTTTTAAAACTTTCTCCAATTGACAGCTAAAAGCTTTCACTCAAGAGTAATGAAGTATAGAAACTGAGGTGTAATCAGGACAAAGGCAAGGACAGCGTAAAAGGGAACGCCATGCCAGACTGGAACCAGTGGGAAAAGGAGAGAACAAGAACCAACTCCTGAGGGTGGTTCAATGACCCACACCCACACCTGCACTCTCTCCCACACAGTAATAGTAAATACATATTAACAAGACATATATATGTGAAAATAAGCAAAGTTGAATGATACTCTCTCTATATATTTATTCAGAGCTTTATAATTTTGATTCAGCATGGATGGCAATAAATGGGTCCTCAGCAGAATTACTTATGGAAAACTGAGCCGTTCCATCCCCGGAAACCTGGACTTTAATTCCTGTGCAACTGCCATTGATTTTGTCTCCAGAAATGACATCACAGTATGTGCCAGCAGGAAGACCAGTCTGTAACCTTGCTGACAGAGACCTGAAAACAGAAATGGGTAACATTTAACTTAAGTTCAACACAGTCAAGTGCACGAGGAACAACAATCTCTAATTGATCCCAAAACTTTGTGCTGGGGAACTGCAAGCAGAAAAGGTCTCGGTGAGAAAATTCCACACGAACACATCTCCAGTGGGATGAAAACATTATTGGGAACATGTCATCTTTTCACAGCCTAGCAGATTCCCAGACTGTGGGGAATTCTACCAAGTAGTGAAAGTCATAGAGTGTCAGTGTAGGTTTCAGATAAAACCACCACCTGTGAGGAACATATTCATTTAAAATTTGTCCTCTGCTGACCTAAAGAAAACACTAATTAATTTTAGGAATGGTAATGGCATCATTTCTCCAAAACTTGCTTGCTTGTTTGCTGCTAAAACCTGGGGCTAGAGGGTAAAATAATCTAGATTTGCTGTGGAGAAATACAGTTTGAAATATAAAACTATTTTTACAAATTTATTTTCATTCTTCCACATAGAAGATGAAAGAAATTACAGATCTAGCTATATGTTTGTAACTAAAGTAATGATACAATTATTTCCTTTTCAGCAATAAATTAGGATTTATGCTCAATATAATTTAAACATGAGTAGAAGTTGAATTTGGAGAGATTTCATCTGCTTGCATAGTGATTCTCTGAGCTATAGTCCTACACATGAGGTGATCATTAATGCAGATAGGATGTTATTGTCCCAAATGAAAGGACATTAATGAAAGTTTTAGAAGCTGAATTAGGTACCCCTGAAAGCAAGAATATATCATGAGGAAGTACAGATATATTTCAAAAACCTTTATCATACAGAAATAGACCCCTGAAGACTATCAGAAGAATGGATAAAATAACTATTGACATTCAGATACTCTAATACTCACTCTGTACATTCTTTAGTGATTTTGTCTCTTATGATTGTGTGTTTCATGGGGTGCGTTTTATCAGCATTAAATGCGAATGTAAATGAATGACATTCTAAGAATACACAAGAGTTCTACTTGAAATATTGGGAAAATGAGAACATGACACAAGAAACAGAAACTTTGTATTGTCTGCAATTTTCAGATCTCTTTGTTTCCTTCAATTTATTAATATAAAAATTCTCAGATATGAATATTTCTAATGATCAGAGAAAGTAAAGAATGATACATGAATATAACAGTAAAAAATCCTGTTTCAATTGGTATCTACTTACCAGTCATCATTGTTAAAGACAATGAAGCCTCTGTTTCCTCTTCCAAAAGCTACTTGGTTGCTGCCATTGTCCCACCAGTTTGCAAATGGCTGGCTTTGAACTACATTTCTGAAGGCAACCATGTTCCTGAAAGCACAAACATGTCAAATTCTGGTACCCTAAAGCTTCAATGACTTAAAATGAAATGTTATGGAATGAGATAATATTTCATAGGACATGTTCCCACCTGATTTGCCGCCACCGATGTTCACACACCCAGCCGTTTCCACAAGTGGTATCTGCATTAATGGTCACTTCTTTGATGGCACCGTTGTTATTTGGTGGTCCAATCCAATCATTAACATCCTTAATTATCGAAAATAATTCAGGTTTTTAATACATATGCATTTAACTGTTCCTTTTCCACCATTTCAAATCTGATCAGTTGTGCTACTTGTGTCTCTGAGCTTTCTATTTAGAGTCTAACTCCTTCATATCTTTATACACCTTTGTTGAGTCTTTATCATCTGTGCATATGCTGGTTCTCTACTACCTTATTTCAAACACCTGGAGCCATTTTTCAGCCTCTCATAATTTCCTATGCAACAGCGTCTCCATACCACAATCAGCTCTTCTGCGTCACTCAAAAGGCAAGACTATCCATGTCAGGAACACGAAGATTAAAGCAGAGCCGCAGGTTAACTCTGTTTTAGAATACTGTTTAATGCATGTAACATTTCTGTGCTGAGTTTCTTTATTTGTAAAGCAGAGAGATGCTGTTGTTTTCTATAAAAATTAAACAATGTACATTAAAAAATATGGATGGAATAACTCCCAACTTGATACTGGTTGATCTCATTCTACCTTTTGGGTAAATATGTGAATTAATATAATCTGATATTCATTAATAAATTTAACAAACTTTAAATAAGCATTTTTGGATGGAAAGATATTTCTATGTTGAAAAGCACATGGTAAGTCTAGGCCAGATATTCATTGCAAAGTGTAATATCTGATGAATTATGAATAAGTCTAATAGATATTTTAATATAGACTCACATGCTAAAGATGTGAATACATGTGTATCTGAATGAATATACGCAAAGGAAAATGGAAAGATTCTGTGATTATTGATTATGATTTATCAGTTCATCAGAGCTTGACACAATTTAAATAATCCTACATGAAAGCTTTTCCACAATGTTATATCATTTTATAAAGAGCTGAGGTGTTCTAAAACAGAAAAGAATATAGAAAAAATATTTTTCTAACTTATACTAAGGAGACATTTCTATTTTATATTTTTAATTTCTGTATTTATCTATAATCTACATGTTAAATAGAAAAATTCCCAGTTTTTTCAATACCACATGGCCTTGTTCCAAAGTTGATTTTTTTATGTATCTAACAATTTCCCAAATAGTTTTCTCATCCTTACCATTTGTGAAATAGTTGGCAAATTTCTGTTCTTTGACTTTCATATTTTACTCTCCCTTCTTACTTTCCTTAGTTAACCTCAGATCAAATGAATTATTTCTACCCATTTCATAGAAAAAAAATAAATATTTTAAACTATTTACGTTCATCATGTCATAGGCAGAAAGTGTTTAAATTTTCAGGTGTTAGTATATACAAGCCCCATATCTACTCTACAAAACAGGGATTTATCAGACATACTTGTTTACTTTCTGAAAGTTGTTTCTATTCATAAATTTTTACTGTCAGATATATCTTTACAATCCTTATATTACAAAAACATAGGGAACAAATGCTTGATAATAAATATTGCATGTATAGCTTCAAGTGATATAAAAAAAAGAACAGCTTTTTTAATTTATTTTTTTCTCTGTACAAGTATATTGCCTGAGTGTGTGTGAATGCACTTTGTCCTGCAAGGCTGTGGAGGTCAGAAGAGGGCATTGGATTCCCCTGGATGGTTATTAGGCACCACCTGGATCCTCTCCAAGGGCAGTCAGTTCTCTTAACTGCTGGGTCATCTCTCCCAAGAACTGCTTCTTTTCTTGAGAAAAAAATGTAGTTTGAACAATACTCAAACTTACTTTTCCATTCTCAAAACGTCTATCCCAACGGTAACTTGACATGACTCGTGTGAAACCATATGGATGAGCCAGCATGAATCCAACAGCCATTTTATACAGTCTGAAAGTCACAAAATATTATTACAGGAGACAAAAAAAGAGTAATTTTTGCTGTGATAAATGGCAGGTTGCAAACAGCGAAAACTTTATTTTTCCTACCTAGCATCCCAGAATGTCAGAATGGATGCTCCTCCAGCCCCATGTCCTCTCTGGTTATCATGGTTATCCACAAAGACAAGGGCTCTGTCGGTAGGCATCATACCCCAACCTTCTCCCCAGTTCCTATTAAAAAATGCATGCATTATTTTTTACAATGATTTATAGTAATTTAAATCTGCCACTCTGTATATGGCATCAGCTTAATTCTATAATTAAATGATTTTCATAACAATAATATTTTATATGTAGATATTCATATATACCTATGTAATTAGCAAATGGTTTCTATGCTAATATGTGCAGGAACATTATTTGGAGTTAATTCATGTTACCATAGACTATATGTAGTATTTAAAAAATTCCATTAGAGTTTTTCAGCATATTTAAATGTCCTTGAAGAGGGTAAACATTCATATCACATGAAAGGGAATGAAAAACTGGATTCAAATCTGTTCTGTTGTGTGTCCTGACTTCAAAATTTCAAAGTATTTTTTGATGTGTTTAAATTCAAGAATATGGTCAAAATGTAAGTACACTAAGCAGTATTCTCTTAATAATAACCTGACTTTGATATATTATAGAGAAGCATTATCAAAATTTAGTACATTCATACTGCAGGTAAAATCTTTTGATGATGTTTAGAGTTCCTAGAAGGCATGCTCATGACTGAAATTTTAAATGTAAAAGTGAACTTGGGGAACAGTAAACCGCCTTGGTAATACATTTATTGATAGAGAAATAAATTATAATGCCCTATAATGGTAACTCAAATTGAGGCAATACGGCAGTAGGTCTGTGGTAGATAAAATGACAAATTGTTGCGTATTTACTTCAAGTACGCCATCTTCTCTCCATTCCACTTGCGGATAACTGTGCCCAGTTTTGCTCCAAACTTGAATTCTGTCACACGGCCATTTCCAAAGTACTCATTGCTTTTAATTGCCTCATTACCCAGATCAATAACCTGGTAGAGATACAACGACAACCGTTATTTGAATAAAACAACCTTAAATCACCATAATGAAAAAATAATATAGTATATGAAGTTTTAAGGCATTTATTCTATTGGAATCTTAAATTACTACATGAAATGAAACCTAAGGTCACTTCTCGTCTTGTAACATGATTGACACTAGCTAGACTTCCACATAATTGAGAATTCAATAGATCACACTAAATTAGAACTCAGATGAACATTTTCAGCACTTTTAATCTTGTTTCTGGAAGGAAACAAGGATAACTATTATCTTTCACTCACTGCAAAGACAATATTTCCTGAATAGAAAGCTTCATGTCTTGACCTAAATACTTACAGAAGTAGTAACAACATTCAGAATTCAAACTTAGATAAACTGACTTGAGAAAGCAACATCCATAGTTTCCCACCATCAATGAAATTTACAAGCTGAACTAATTCTCCTCACTACCTCGGAACCCCTGTGGTAAAGAATTAAGCATGTCCTCTCTGAATAGTAAAAACTTAAAGAGTGGTGAAGTAGGAAAGTGATCACACATTAAGTGAATTCTGTCATCTATTTACAAGGTACAAGCCTGGTATCGCTCTAAACACACACGTTAGTATTGCTTTACCTCTTGAAAAATGAAAGGTCTACTTCCTTGAGAGAACCATTTTGTATTTAGATTATGCAGTTTATTCAGAATTGCCTTTATGTCTCCAGGCCACATGTGCTTAGCAGCATCAAGTCTGAACCCTGCCACACCAATATCAATGAGATTGTTCATATAGTCAGCAATCGTGGTGCGAACATAATCTTTCTCAAGGGCAAGATCCAGAAGGCCTAAAAGATGACAATTTCTGACCTGTGGAGGCAAAAAATGCAGTGAACGAGTTATGCACCGTCTACACTCAACTGAGATAGTATTTGAGGTGCATTTATTAAGCCGCTGATCAGCAGATAAGTACATGATGACTGTATGTAAGACTTTGGGAAAATAAATATTTTACTGCAGATAAACCTTTGATATATTTTCTAATATAAAATTGAAAGTATTATAAATAAAATAGTTAAACATTTTAATTTATTACAGAATTTTGTCTTTCATTCTTTCCTGTCTTTCATTCCTCTTCTCTTTCTTCGCTTTCATTCAACTTTCTTTCTTACCACTTCCTTTCTCACTTTTCTTCATTTTATGCAGTAAAGAGTACCAAGCCAATGACTCTGTAAATGTCAAGCACATGCCTTGCCACTGAACTCCATCTACAGCCCCATGATTAAGGAAAGTATTGGAATATTGATTTGAGTTTCTACTCTTTTTCAAAAATATTATATTTATTTGTATTTTATGTGTATACGTGTATTGCCCGCATTTAGGTAGGTGCACCATGTCCTACAATGCCCGCCTAGGACAGAAGAGGTTATTGGATCTCATGGAACTGGTATTACAGACATTTGTTAGCTGCCATGTGGGTGCTGGGATTCGAACCCAGGTCCTCTGCAAAACCAACCAGTGTTCTTAACTGCTGAGCCATCTCTCCATGCCCGAGTTTCTAATCTTTAAGCATTCTCTTCTATAAAGCTCTTCTCATAAAAAAAAATAATCGAACCTATGTCAAGTACGGTATTCCATAACTGCCACCTGCGCACTTAGACATATAGAATGTTTTTCATTCATTATTACCTGATTAGCGTCGTTATAGTTATTAATTCCTCCATTGCATTTGCCATCGTTAAAATCCCAGCCAGAGTACGGAACTGCTGGAAAGTCCCTGTTGTTAGGGTTGTAGTAACTGCCACACGTGCTGCTTGTTCCTGCAGCGTTGCCTGTGCTGCACATGTGATTGATGACGGCATCCACATAAATGCGGACCTGAGAAGGGAAGTGTGCGCTTCAGTTAGAAATGTATCGCTGCTTTGGATGACCGGTACAATATGCTAAGGAAACCCTAAAGTGTTCTGTTTTGTATTGTTTGTTTCTTTGGGCTGTTTTGTACTTTATCATACACAAGAACGAAATTTTAGTGTGAAAGGAAATTTTGTGAAATGAATACCAATGATGGTCTTAATATTTACTCAAGAATTTGCATTATAAGTGGAGTAAACAGAAACATCTTTACAAACAAAAGGAAAGATCAATTTCTGAGGAAGTCAGCATTAGTAGAAAACTTGAAACGTATTTACATGAAATTCCACTATGTCATACTGAGAGAGAAGACAGTACTCTCTGCTTACAACCTTAAGAAAAGGTGCATATTTGCCATCATTATACAGAAAAATTACTTTTTTTTTATGATGGAGAACAATGTTCTAGAAGAAAATCCTGGAGTTGTCTGTGTACAATAAACTCACTAAAACATGCATCTTATTGTTATACCTGGAACAGTTGCTCACCAGGGAGTGTTACTAGGAAGTATATGTTGTTACAAGGGCTAAGAGCCTGTACTACTTTGCTTCTCCAATGCTGTGACAAAACATGCTGACAAATACCAACTTGGGGAGGAAGGGGTTTATTCAGCTTACATCTTGCAGGTCACAGTTCGTCAGGGAGCCCAAGGTAGGAACTCAGGGCAAGAACTTGGAGACAGGAGCTGGAGGATAGGCCATGGAGGAACACTGCTTTCTGGATTGCTCCCTGGCCTCTGATCAGCCTGCTTTCTTATTGAACACAGGCCCAATTGCACAGGGGTGGTACCATCCACAGTAGGCTGGCCCCTCCCACATCACACATCAATCAAGAAGCTGCCCCACAGACACGGCCACAGGCCAATCATGTGGAGGCAATTCCCAACTGAGGCTCCCCCAAGCCAGGTGTGTCAAGTTGACACTAAAGCTATCCAGCACAGAGCCAAAATTTGATTCACAAATATCCCTCTTTAAACAGTTAAGAGGACATTTGGAAAAATTTTCCAAAGGGTGATAATAGGCTGCAGTGGGCATTTGGAGTTACAAATCAAACAAAAAGTAAAAATACTAAATTATGAAACTAATCACACTGAAGAAAACAGAGAGAAATATTTCATATATGATGATTTGGAAGCAAACACGAATGTACTTACACCAACGTTGTTGCACCTCGTCACCATGTCTCTGAATTCGTTTTCATTTCCAGACCTTGTGCAGATTTTGTAGCTAATTGGTTGATATCTTTCATACCAGGGCCTTGAAGGGTTGTGAATTACAACATTTTCATTAGGTGGAGAGACCTATTAATAAAAATGATTACAATGATTATCATAATATTGCTTACTTTACCTAAAATGATCCTGCAGAAACTAATCAAGGATCCAATGCTACTTCTTAGGTCTCTGTGTGTGTGTGTGTGTGTGTGTGTGTGTGTGTGTGTGTGCAGCTGCATTTCTCTATAACCTGGGACACTGACAGCACATTGGGAAGTCCTCTGATGTCCCAAAACAAAATATAATGGTGCCTGCTAGAAAAATCCGCCCCCCAAACTTAAGTAGGATGTGAAATATTGCTCCTGATTCACTAATATCGACTAGCATGCAGTTTTATATAAGCTCAGTAAACTCTGCTGCTTAAATCGTGAACAACATTTACCTGGACCCCTCCAAATCCTTTGGGACCTAAGTATCGCTCACATTCCTTGGCAATATCAACCCAGCGCCACTCAAACAGGTGGACAATGGACGTCCGGCCGTACTGAGTGTGGGGGTCATATTGCGCCCAGCAGAACCCGACGAGTGAGAGCAGCAGAAGGAACTTCATCTTGCTTGAAGTTGTCAGTGTTCTGTCCAGCAGTTATTTATATTCCTGCAATTAGGACAGTTTACAAAGTAAATGTTAAGAATAAATATTTAGAGTACAAGGTGTTTATTCTTAATCTGAAAGAGATTAGCAATAACGGTGTTAACAGGTGAAGAGCATTCAGAAAACTCCCACAGGGGAAGAAACTGAATGTCCTTGGTAGACACGCATTGTGTGGTTAATGTTAGATATAATGTCTGATGTTCTGCACTAATACGAGGAAAATTACAGTTGTACCAAATTGCTATGGTTATCTACCTGAAAACATTTAAAAATCCCATTCCAAATAGAAGTTGGATAACCAATTCAGTTCTGTTTGCTGCCCATACTCAAAATAATTTTAATTATTGAACGTGGGCTTAATTTTTCAGAAACTGCCATGCATGGAGGCACACAGCTGCAATGCCAGAGCTAGAGAGGATGAGACGTGAGGTCTGTGAGTTCAAGGCAAGCCTGGGCTCCATACCAAGGCCTTGCATAGAGACAAATAAAGAAGTTATAGATGACATGATATTGAAATGTCCAAGATTTTAGAAGTAAACATTTTACCCTCCAGCAATCATGGATTAATCTGTGGCCAGAAGGAGTTGCATTGTGAAAGTGATAGTTTACCCCCTTAGCCAGATTTCTTTTATAACCAACATAATACTGAATAAAAAAAAATTATTATTCTTCCATCTTATATTAATGACATTCTATGAGACAGACTTGTAGTACAGTAGGAATAAACTTCTGCCACTCAACAAGGACTGAGTGAGTTTCTTCATGTGGTCAAGCCCTGATGTTGGTAGGGCTAGAATGATGAACAAGGCAGACGGGTTCCATACTAGAAGTTCCTGTTAGGGGAAAGAGCAGAACATTTGCAAATAAACCTAAGTGTGGTCATCATGGCTATTAAATAGCTTCAGATGAAATGTAATCAGAGAATTTGTTTAAATATTTTTATTTTACACATATGAGCATGTACTTTCATGAATGTAAT